GGGACTGCCTTTTCTGCAAAGGGTATAATCAACAGCTCCTTCGAATTTAGCTAAAACGAGGTGGCATAATTAAAGTGCCTACCTAAAAGTCTTAACTGCAAAAGCACAGCAATGATGCCTTAATGTCTCCATAGGCAGACCACTAGATAAATAAAGAGATGGAGAGAACAGGGAGCCATATTGAGGGGGTGGGAGAAGAGATGAACGAGAGAACACAGTGATAATTTCTATTTACACTCAGGGAAAAGACTCTAGCACCTCAAAAACCTGCCCTACTTAATGACTGCACCACGTCAGCACTGTTTCAAACACACACGAACATTACACGAGCCTCACAGCATATGTCAGGGGTGCCGTGTGTAGGCGAGTGTGATATCCCTGTAATGAAAACAGCTTTCAAGGGACTATGAAGCAAACGGAAATAAACAACATAGAGAGCAACTGCATGTCCTACAGACCCACATTAACACAAACGCTTGATCTTTTGTACATAAAAATAATGCCAAATAATGATGATTTTCTTGTATCATTTATCAGTTAGCTAGCATTTTAAATGAATGGATACATAATAGGAATGTACTGTACCAACAGTAAGATTTTAGCTGATGTTTTCATTTTATGGCCAGTAACATAAATTTTGAATGCTATACTAGTTTATTTAGATTAAAAATGAAGAAAACACTAACAACTAATCAATTGTTAAAAAAAAAAAGAAAATTAGGCATCACAACATTAGAATGTACAGGATGAATTTGGACCCATACAATGAAAGTCAATTAGTAAAATCAACAGAAAAAAATACAATGTTTTCAATGTTATTAAATTATTAGTGTTAAATATTACATTTAAGTGAGTGTTAGATGCTAAAAAGATGCACTTTTTAGGAATCTTTGATAAATAGAAAGCATAGCATTTATGTAAAACAGGAATCCTCTGCAAAATTACAAATGTCACTTTCAATCAATTTAATGCATCCTTGCTGAATAAAAGTATTAATTTTTTTTTTTTTTATCACCTTTGCATAGTTGAGAGAGACAGCAAATTTGGCACCTTCTTCTCTTCTGTCTACTGTAAGATGCATTTTCTTAAATGCTGTTTTCTTAAATAGTTCCCATTGCTATTTTTTGTTGTTTAGTTCCAAACCCAAGTGTAAAGGGTCCATTTCACACACTCTCTGCACCTCTCTCCCCAATTTATCATAGTACTATCCAATTCTCCCCTCATAATTTTCATATAAATCATGATTCTTGAATTTGAACAAAAAATTATTGTAATATTTATCAACAGTATTGCCATCAGATTACCAGGTTACGTAAAAATATGCAGAAGAGCTGATGGAGTCGAGAGAAGCAGCAGGTTTGACGACTCCTCTGGGGGGAGAGAAAGGAAGTAGCATAATAATCTTTGAGAGAAGGTATTAAATGAACGTGCCGGATGGGGAGCGAGAGACAATGAGAGTTTGGACAGACTGTTGTAACCTGTGTGAGCCAGAACAGACCTCACTTCCTCAATGAAAATAAGTGCTTGTGGCTGTCCATATACACAAAGTGCTCTACACTGTAATCTTGTACTCTTTGTTATTTGCCCCTTGGCTGTTTCTTAATGCTTTTTGGAAGCAGTAGTCCATCTATTCTCATCTCTTCTCCCTCCTGTTCATCAGGTGGATGGGGCATTATTACAGCAGGGGTGATCGGAGACGCTCATTTCCTGTTTCACTGCCACAAAGACAGCTAAGGATATCAGGGCTCAAAACACACACTCTTTAACGCGGTGTGTGTGTTTTATTGGCTCAGTTGTTCATGAGATTGACCAACTGCTGCTCCCCCTGCTGGTTGAGTGTGTTTAGAGAGAACGTTTGTGTGTGTGTGTGTGTGTGTGTGTGTGTGCGTGAGTTGTTCTCGTTGATTTGAGTCACACACACCATGCCAATGTAGGGTTGAAACCTCCAGCTGATATCTGAGCTAATTACTACACTCATCGTTTTATCGGCGCTTATTTAATTAAGCCGGAGAGAAATAAACACTCAGCGCACACACACATACTGAACGCACAACACAAACACACACCACTTTCTGGTTCTTTAAACCAACAAAGCAGTGTTTATTCATGGCTAGAGTTTTATTAGTTCATATTAATTGAGATACTACGGGGAATATTTTGACTTTTAAAAATTATTCTTAAACCACAGAAATTTTTAAAATTTCTTTTTTTTTTTAAACAATGTACTGGTCAGTCTTTTCCATTAGAATGAATGGGGACTTGAAATTTGATGTTTCAAAAAGGATACAAAACTCCATAAAAGTTTTGTAATTGTGGTCGGTAGGATCCATGTTCAACATTCAAGGTCTTATAAAGTCATGAAAATATATTTAAGGCTGGAACACACTACAAAATTTTTCAAAAAGGGAACAGATTTTAAAATACCAGTCAACTTGGTGATTTTGCAAATGGTTGCAGAGAAAAACTAGGCATCATACAGTAAACAATTGAGGATCAGACTTTTAAATTCATTCCAAACACAATAATCTTACACAGAAACATCTGCCTTGTTGCAAAGAGACGCATGAGAAATGAAAACAACTTGAGCTCAATATCAAAATGTTTGATGTACTCCGCTGGATGGAATAGAAATCTGAATTAGTGGTCGACCGATATATCGGCCGATATTTGACATTTTTTAAATATCTGCATCGGCCGATAAGTTTTCCTGTTTGGCCGATGCGTTCAATGCAGGACTTTTATTTTGACGGCGCGACTGACTTTTATTTTGTCTGACAGCGGCAGCGCCTGAGCACAGTGCTCACATTCTCCCTCTTGTTCGCGGTCGTCATTAACAGTTCTGTCTAATACGGATAGAAGTCTGTCTAATAATCAGATAGAACGGTTAAACAAAGGAATTAAAATGTATACAAAAAGTATTATAACGATGGCTTTTATATTAAATGTATACAAAAAAGTATTATAACGATTGCTTTAATATTATTAGTAACAGAAAAGCAAACATTATAATACTGTCTCGTTTGCCTTCAGCATTCCGCAAATACGCATTTATATCATTTAAACAAATCTTTGAATGACTAATGAACATTTAATTTCACAAAGCTTGCAAACTTAGTCGGATCCAGTTGTGAGATCTTGTGAAGTGTGCATTTGTATCCTGCAAGATCGCGTGTTCTCTGCGTGACAGTCGATCCGTGTGAATTGAATACAGACAGGTGGAGAGTTCAGCTTCACTGGAGACGAGCGATCGACAAACTTTAAACTCGTGATTTCAAATGATGCTGCGCTTCATGCATTTGCCCACTGCCATATTCATGTCATTTCCACTGTGTGCTGTATGTAAAATGAGAGTTAACTTGGCTTTATTTGAAAAAATATGATTCCCAAATCCCAATGCACACAAA